TATAGGCAAACCATCTTGTAGAAGAGAGACAGAGAGAGAGAGAGATGACAGAAGACAGAAGACAGAGTGATAGAAGCTGCAGTGCATTTTAATGTTCTATGGTACGTTCAATGATTCAGTTTCCTAGCCACCTCAATGCAACTCTGTGGTTAACAAAAAGAAGCCACTATCAAGCTAATCTTCATAAATGGAAGTTGGTTTCTTGTTACTTATTAAACTACAGCGAGAACCTCTGTAAATGAAGTCCAGGGTATAATAACTTACTGAAGTTGTCTTCAAAAGGAAAAGTAGAATAGAAAAAATTGATGCCTTGTGAACAAAAAATCTGACAGGTGAAACTGGATTTGTAAGAGAACCAGTTTAATATGAGAAAAAAATTTAGAATAATTATACTGTATTAGATACAGTCGCTAAAATTACAGAACGCAACAATTAAGAATTTTCAGCACAGCAGGTAAATTCCCAAATTAATCAAGAATTCTTATAATATCTGATAACTACAATAAATGGACCAATGACTTCATTCCCTTACTCCACACATGCTAAGAATTGAGAATTCATTCATCTATAAAGGTTGAAACATGCCAAATGCAAGAAGCAAGCATCCCTGCTAAATCCATCCTGACAAAAGAGAGCAGGGGGAAGAGTTTGAGAAGTGTGGCGAACTGGTGGCTAAACAAGGTCAGAACAGCATCAAGTCTTGGTGATTAAAAGGAAAATAATAATAATAATAGAACCGTCTAATTGACAGAATACACGGGTGCGCAAATTCGCACACACAAACAACAATAGTAAGGTTCATTACTACCAACCATTGTAAAGTGGTCAATACAAAAATCATAGCCACCATAGTAGACAGTACTAAGTTGATCCCTTTAGAAGAGGAAAAATATATTATTTATGCTTACAAACAACCTTCTTTGCTTAAGGATGACAATTGGTTACACTGCTGTAAGAGAAAAATAAATTTTCAAAAAAAATAATAAAAATAAGGACATGAAAACATGTATTTGATGCCTTTTTTCTATACCTATATAATCACAAATCAGAAATCGAAATATGGACATAGTCATCCACATTAAAACACAACGATCAACTTTAAGGGAAAAACTTAAAAACCATCAGAACCGGTGTCACCGTTCCCAACACCCAATGCATTCAACTATAGTTTGCTGCTCTAAACTCCTGTTCTTTGGAATGTTGAAAATTGTATCCTAAGAAAGTGAAGGGGTCTTTTGCCTCATATTTCAAAATTTTATCTGTATAACATGAGATTCAGACTCTTATTTATAGTCATACTGAGCTGCTCCACGAAATTTTCTAGTTTTAAGGACTTTGGATCTAAAACTCGTTTTCCTCAACCAATCAGTGAACAAATGATAACTTGCCCAAGGATGAACGCTTAGAGAAACAATACCAAAGAAGATGTAGAACGAACTCCATGAACATCATAGAATTGGCCAAGAGCCTCAAGAATTGGAAACAGTTGCCAATGATTATCCATCTTCCTTCGGCACCTGAACAGCCCATCTCCATATTTTATTTGAATCCATTCTCACTTGCCTTCGTTGTTCTAACACTTAAATTTCTCCCTCCAACTTGATAAGCAAAACAATTCCCAGAGACTCACAAGTTCACCACTATTCCCAAACATTAACATTCTCCCCAAACCGTCATGCCAAAGGTAACGGACCGTACTAATTAATCTTTGCTTCATATTAAGTTGATAAGTATGAACTTCTCTAACCACAGTTCATGTTCTTCTAATTCCAGCATTCTGTAACCGATGTCCAAAACTTTTTTAATGTAAAAGAAATCACATTTAATTGTACTCACCTACTTCTTTTGATCAGTTAGGCAATTGCAAAGGCAAACTATAAAGAGGGTTTTGCAAAATTTCATTTACTCAAGCACATGATACACTCTCGTTGTCTTTCCATTTCATTAACTGTATACTGTTTGCATGGAAGTTCAACCTCAGGATAGAATCCCCAAAACAACTTCATCCACACCTCACAAGACAACAATTCAATTCACAATATCAAATTGTGTACGGATTTAATTTTAACATAAAAACACATTGAGACTATTTTTCAACATTATTATAGATTCATAGCATTGCACTTGCCAACAAAAAAAGAAAAGAAAAGAAAAGAATCTTTCTGCCAGAAATCATAAATCTAACTCATTCCATAACAAAAGAAGAGAAAAAGAAAAAAGAAATGAAAACAACAACACAAAGAAAAAAAACCAAACGGAACCATCAGTGTAAGAGACGACAATGAATAACATGAAAGAATTGGGCAGAGTGGTTTTCAGTTACCTTAGAGAAACAGAAGAAAGCAGCGTCCAAAGCCAAGGAAGGGAAGCGTTACTCATGAGCCGTTGTTTCAATGACAGGGGACAACGTACGTTTACAAAAAGTGTATATTCTTGTCTCTTTCTCGAGTGAATGTGTGTCCGACAGCTTGGGGCGGGCTTTAAGAGAGCAGGAAAATTGCCCTGCGATGTAGATTCTCCTCAGACCACAAAATGCATGTGGCTGCCAAAAGTTGAGCTGAGGCAAGCATTATCTTATGAACATCTTTCTTTATTATTACTATTATTATTACATTTCAATATCATTAAAAATTTTCATTATACTTTTAATTTTATTAGTTTTTTACAAAATTTATTGAAATTGAGGAAAATTTGTGTCTTAAATTAATGAAATATTTAATTATATTACTTTTTATTATAAGCCATGCTGTACATATTCAGGCATGAGCCACGGGCTACACCATTCATGATTTGATGCGTGTGTTTCACTTGAAATCTTTATTATATTTCTTTAAAATTCTTTTAAACTTGACAACTAAGGGCTAGCTTTAGTTTGACACAATTAATTTTTCATTCTCCCTTTCTATTTTACACTTTAAATACTGATCCATAAAAATAAAATAAATAATAATTAATTTTGGAAAATTGGAAAGCATAGATTTCAAATGTAGTTAGAAAGCTAGAAAATCATTTTTACCATTTTCTCAACGTGATTAAAAATAAATTGAAATCAAAGGTTTCTAAATTTAATTTTAATCCTTATTTCATTAAGAAATGATAATGTTAAAATGAAGATGAAAAACGACAGTAAACCTTCTCTAAAAATTAAACACTAAACAGGGCCCTAAATTGCTCATTATAAACCTAGCTTCATCATGCATAACCGTGTTGGGCGTTAGTCTTGCCGTGTATCAATGGCATGTCAAAAGGCCTTACGAATTCGAAAATAGGAGGCCTTTGTTCCAAAATCACTTGTTTGAGTTTAGGAATGTTAATAGATATTTTATAATTCGATCTATTTGATTAAATAAAATTTGGGTATTTTATAATTGGATTTGAGTAAGATTTAAATAATAAAATTATTATTTGATGTGGGTTTCAATAGTAGTTTTATAATATTCACTACCTAACTTTGATTATAAATAATAATATTTTTAATGTTAAATTTTAATTTTTTATATTATTTTTATAATTAATATAATACTTATCAAAATTTATTAATTGTTTTAAATATGATTTTAAATTTTAAGTTATTTTTTATGAATTACTTTTAATTCATTAATTTAATTTTTACTAATAATATGGATAAAAAATAAATTTTAAATTTATTTTAATCGAATATATATTTAACATATAGTATTTAGAATATTTGGATATGGATTTAGATAACAATTCAAAATTTTAATCGGGTATTTTCGAAGATTCGAATACTCTAGTAAATAATAAGAGTTGGATTAAGGTATTTAAAAAATAAGCAATATCCTATTTGTTAATATCCCTACATGATTGGTAGGTACAAGTTTATGAAACCAGGGCATTAGGTTAAAAGCCATCCAGATTTTTGGTCGGAGGAAAGAAGGAAAGAAAGGGGAAAAAGAAGGGGAAAAAAGAGAGATGTTGTTGACACTTTGAATTGTGCCCGTTATTCGTCAATTCATTGTCATCTTCATCCTGTGTAGAGAAAACTTTATTCTTGAGCCTAGGGCTACAGTATCCACCCCATGTGTTGAGCCATTTCGCAAAGGATGAGTCTCCCCAATTTGGGTTGCTGAATTTGCCACCTTTGTACATATGAGGTAATCCGAGACGAGAGGAGAGGACATGAGAGATTCAATTTTTGAAACTTTTCCCACTTAAAAGAGGGATAATAATCACTAAATTTTTTGTCATTATAAAATTTATTTATGGTTAGAAACATCCACTTGAAGTATTACATGTCTAGAAACGTCTTTATGTATTACATATTTAGGAACATTTTTATACTTTACAAACATAAAAACATCTCTGAACGTTACGCATTTGAAAACGTCTTTGAACATTATATATTTAAAACGTCCCTATATATTGGTGACATTCCCATACATAACGTAGTTAGAACGTTGTTATCTGTTATGCATTTAGAAAATATTTAAGTATTTTTTTTCATTTTGATTAGACGAACAATCATTATTTATGCAGCAATAAAATTAATATAGCAAGTCAAGAAAAAAAATAAAAAACAAAGAACCAATCCTTTCGAACTACGAACAATCTAAGCCTAACTAGTGTCATTATTAGATTAAGTGTTCCATATAAACCATATACGTAGCCATAGCAGAGAAATTAAACAGCAAAGATGCAAAGCTTCAAAACACCAACTCCTTTTAACAAGAGCCGTCGTCTTGCCTCATTTACCAGAACTTGTGCTCAATCAACAGCCGTAGCCATTATGTCAGCTTGGTAAGCTTTTGAATATAATAACGTATGCTTTCACATTTGTTGTTTAAGCTAATAGTGGATATATATTATTTAAAGGTGTTAATTGAAGAGAAAGGTAATTCACCAACTGTTATACTTAACAGACCTCGCGTCACTTCTTTTTTCGTTCAAGGGAAAAGGCGAGGGAGATGTCGTCCAGCTATATCAATTAATAAATGAAGGTGATAACAATTTTGATTTCTCGATATTCTTAACAATTTCTTCCATGTAAACATTAATAGATACAATTCTATTATAATTCTTTATGCCAACATAGTTTACTTACTCTACAGAAATTCTAAATCAACTCCGAAAATTTCTCTCTAAGATTTCTTTGAGGAATTTTTTTATATTGTATATTTCTTTTCTAATTTCTCTTGTGGTCAACACAACTTTCAGGAAAAGATTTTTTTTATCTTTCTTATTGCTTTAACTTTTTTGTTTCTTATTACTCTAACATAACTTTTCGTAAAAGGAAAGGTTTTTTTTATTTATATGTTTAATAATTTATATTTTTTTATCTATTTTGTTTGACATAAAGATAAAGGTAAACAAACAAACATGAAACATATTGTAATTTTTAAAGGTGAAATAGTGTGTAGGTAGGAATGATAATGCAAGAGTAATGACAATAAATGAATACTTATATGGTTGTTTGTCATTCATGTTTGTAGGAAATTTACTTTTATGCCAAAAGTCCACTACAATGAGCCTAGCAAGGCTACTTTAAAGATATTGTGGGGTAGCAAGGCTACTTTAAAGGTATTCTTTTGGAACTTACTTGTGTTGGGCGAGATGCCTTTCATTCCTTACGTCACCCTTTTAAGGTGATAAAAGCTTCTAACACTCATTTGCAAACTTTCAAGGCATTCCAATGTTGTCAAATTAAATGTCTTAACGCTTGTATAACTAAGGCCAAAGCTTCAAGTGTTGCGGCAAGATTGGAATGTCATGAAAATCTTTCAAATGAGTATCAAAAATATTATTTCTAAGTTCTATCATTGAAAAAGGGTGACAAATGAAAATCATCTCGCTTAGCACAAGGAAGTTCTAAAAGAATGCATGCTGATTAAACTATACAATTTCTGTAGAGTAAGTAAACTATACAATTACTTGTGCTGAGTAAACCATAGTTTACTTCTCATGTGATATAGTTGTTTCATGCTCTTATCACGCTATAATACAATACTTAAAAGAAATAATAGTTTGTCAAAATTAAACATTTACATTATCAATGACTATTACTATAAATGTGATTGATCAAATGGTGGAGCATTATGGCCGGGATTAAGTGGAGAATGCAAAGTTTTAGGGAGTGGAGCTGCACGTCTTAGCCAAGGGAAAAAGACTCGTGAATGATGAGGATGGCTTTCCAATCTCCGGAACTCCTGATGTCACTTTACATTTTATGAGCCCAGTAGCTGCATATATTTTCTTTCCTTTGCCTTTAAAAAACAATACTAGTATAATTTGGTAATGTGCCTGACCAAATTGAATGTATTGAATTTAGTATAAACAATTGTATTTATAATTATAGGTAGGGTACAGGCCGATGTAACCCAAATTGTAAAATCCGCTCATGGATTGCTAAGGCTGAATATTTCAACTGTCAAAGGTCAGGCTTGTGTTGGAGGCCTGCAGAATCACACGAAACTCCCACCATTGATCCTTCCTAGGGTCTCCAAATATAAAGTACTCCTCCTGGCCGTTTCAATCTATTTCAATGTTAAATACAAACCCACCCCCATTTCAAAGAAAAGGAAAGTAGAACCCCGATTGCCTTTATTTATATCTACCACTCTAATTCTTCTTTCTCTGTAAAACTCACCCTACAACCAACAGTCAAGGCTGAGTCGTGCCTTCACGTCCAAACACTAGTAAAATACTCATCTTCCTTTCTTCTTCTCCACCTGCCTTTCAACTACAAGGTATATTAATCATTTCTGTGTCTCACGTCTTACCCTTCCTCGTGTTCCCATTATCATTATCAGTCATCAGTCATCAGTCATCAGTCATCAGTCATCAGTCATCCAATGTTTCCCAATCTAACTGTATGCCTTAAGGCTTAAGTTCTTTCTCCATAGTGGATGCCTCACATCTAACTTTTTGACTTCCTTCTTTCTTAATCTTCTTTTTACTTTATTTTTTTTCTTTAACGAACTCGTACAGGGCTACATGTCCTCAAACCTGAGGGTGAGAAAGAAAGTGGAGGCAGTTAAAAGAGCCCCTTTGGTATCTAATAACCATAAAAAGGCATAGGGAGAGATTCTTCGTCTGTTGAATCGGTAGCTTTACAAATCATTACCTAATGGAAGGATCTTCGAACGGAAGACTAGAGGAGACCCCGAAAGCAGAAGCACATGATGAAGAGAAGGAAGTTATTTTGGACGATTCTCCAGCGCCTAAACTAGACGTTGAATTTGTTAGAGACATTATTCCTGATGGGAACTTTATGTCCATCAATAACACCCCTGATACCGAGGATTTCAGTTCAAGCAGCAGCAGTTCAGATGAAGAGGCAGCGCCGGAGGAAAAGAGTCCTCGGGTGGAGAAGTCTGAGAATTTTGAAGAGGAGAAGGTGGTTTCTGATTCAGTGGTTGAGTCAGTTGAACTTGAACCAGAATCCGTCGAGAAATCAGGGGATTCTGGTGTTGCTGAATTAGATTGCAAAGAAACAGAAGAGAACATTCCACCATCTTTGGACGAGACTAATGCGGATTCTCCAATATTAGCAGATTTGCCAATAAATCACTCGAATGAAGGAACAGAGCAGCTGTCCTCTGCTGAGACCACCGGGGATTCTGCACTCTTAACAGATGTGGAATCAAAGGGAATTGATGAGAAAACAACGCTGCCAGGTTTGAATGAGACTGATGGCTCTGCGGTTGCAGTAGATGCCGTGTGCAAGGGGATTGAAGAAACAACAATTTCTTGTTTGGATGGGAATGGTGGAGTTCCTGCAGCTGAAGCAGTCCAAGGAATCACGGAAACCGAAATTCCAGCTTCAGACGAGAGTGCTGGGGGATCATCAGGTTCCCCTGATTTGGCATCTAAGGAAAATGTTGAAGATTCGTTGCAGGCAGCAAACGTCCCTATCGTAGAGACCAGAGATGTTGGTGAACTAGTAAACAAGCCTGAGATCCATGAAAGCATGGGAAATAAGGTCGATAACTTAACCCAGAATCTCCTGATTATTTGTATTAAGTATTCTTTATGTTTCTCTTTTCTTTTCTTTGTTTTTTAATTTCTAATCCTCTATGCCAGAAGTTTGATTTTCCAGCTTCCAGCCTTAAATTTGTTCTAACAATTGAAATTTCTTCTCTTGTAAATTTTTGACAGCCTATCATATCTCTGAATCATCGTCCTGTGGAACCAACTTCTTGGAAGAGTTGCTGTGGACTTTTTGAAGTTCTGCGGCGCTCCAACAGATAAATTCAAGGTGAGGAAACCTGACATAAAGGTTTATTTCTTTGCATCCATGAAAACGTGCTCTTCCTTAGAATTTGTTTACTTGCTCTACCTTGAATATTGGAGGACACGGTAGTTCGTTATGTGAGAATATGATCAGTTGCGAACAACCCCTTTCCCCTCCTAGCTCTACAACTAATTAGAGTGCTACTGAGACTTGTGAAATGCTCCATACCCCGGTTGTGTTTTCTTCAGTAAGTTCAAACTGGTTAATTCTAGGTTCAGCTTGCAGCACAGGATGTTAAGCAATCAATGAAAGTTCTCCTGGAAGAACAAAGATAAGCACCAGCTTTCCAAATCTGCAAAGGATATGTGAGAGTTCAGAAGCAAAGAAAATAGCTGGAGTCGGAGGTTGGCTTAACTGGTGGAAGCCTTGTGGGGGGAGAGCTTTTACAGTGGCATAGGAACGTTCCTTTTATAGATGCGCCAACCACTGATACCTGGCCATGTATTTTAAGTTTTATTAACCAAAACAATGAAAAAGTAGCAGCCATTAAAGTTAGTAATAACCTCTAGTGATATCTAGATATTTCACTCAATATTGTGAAGTTGTGGAATTACAAAACACATTACCTTCCTCCTTGCCTCCTTGGACAATGGTCAATGGCTTCTTTGTTGTAGTTTTATTGATGCTATGTGGGGGTAAGGTCTCGAAAATGTGCCGCTGCCACTACCAGTTTTTAGGGTACTTGACTTGAAACTGCATAAATTAGCGATTTAGCAGCACTGCTTCCTCCCTACACCTTTAGGTAATGACTGTAATATAGGGTTAATATTTGGAGAAAAAAAGGCGATTTGACACAAGGTTAGCAATCAAGGCTTCATCTTGAGTGTAGATTTGACTGCAGTCCTGTTAATATTTGCCGGGATAAGGCTCGTGCTTTCATGAGTGGTGCTATTGCTGATGGAGACTGCATGTTCCATGGAGATGATGTTAAGGACATTGGAATATGTTTTATTTCATCTGATAAGTTGTGCCAGTAACTGGAGAAATCGAAGGCCCTATAAACGCCAATAAATTTGCAGCGTCTATCCTTCTGATGCAACACTATTCTGGTGCTTCATCAATCACGATAGTGATCTCTTAGGCAAGTATGACATTGGATCTCTAAGCTTGGGCATCATAGGAAGTAGAAAGAACCCCCAGCATTGTTTGAGTCTAATCAACTTGCCACTTCAACGCTTCTTCTAAAAGTCCGACAAACTTAGTTATTTAAAGTAATCCAAGCACTCTCCTCAGCTCATGGTGGATTCTGTTTTGTCTTTTTTGTTGCAGAGACAGAGCATTAATCGAAAGTTAAAGCAGAATTACCAAGTTCTTGTGGAGTTTATGGGTTGTTATGATGCTTTTGTTTTTCAACATTTTATGCGAAAATTATTTTTGAGAAGAAACGTGTTGAGAATTGTGTTAAGAGCTTGGACATTGGAATTGGCGTGTGTGGAGTGTTTCCTCAGTTACATTACACTGTTTGTATGCGATCCTTTGGACATATTTATATCTGTGATGATTATGATATGATTTCATTTCCTATGGAAACTTGGGCTGTTCCCTCAACTCTCATTCATGGACAAGAATGATTGATCAAGAGTTGAGTTATAATTGGCTCAATAGTTACCATGGGGTTAACTCAAAGTCCATTAAACTCTTTTCTTTTTTTTTTTCTTTGGTCAAAGAAATTTATTAGACTGAATATTTCTACGTTCGCCTTCAAAAAATAATTGTTATTTATTCAATTATTTATTTACCCTATTTCTGTATTTAGTTATACGATCATTTATATATTAATTTATTTACTAATACAATCAATTATTTATTTTGTTGTCAAACCAAAAACAATACTTAAAATGTACAAACCTTTAAATTTTAAAAAACTAAACTGAGTTACTGAAATTCAATTTGAACCAGTTCCATTATAAAGCGTATTCAGTTCAGTTTCTGAAAAACCAAAAATTCTTTTCACATCTTGGCTAAAACTAGTCTACAACTAAGAAGTAATACAAAGAAGTGGAAGTCATATATAAAGAGAATTATTACTATTACACACAACACACCAACACACTGACGCTGGACATTTCAAACTCTATTATATAAGTTTATTCAATTGACTCCATCCCATTTCATCCACAGTTATATCTATGTCAATTCACTAATTTCCTTAAAAACGAAGGCTATTTCATTAGTGGCTTCAACAACCTGCAAACAGCTTCACAGAGGTGAAGTAAATGTTGCTTCTCATGCAAAGCAACACGAGACTCATGTACCCCACCTATTAGCCAAAAAACCAGTACCCCAACCATGGTGCTCCTCAGTCCTCACACTAACATGTGAGCCATGCAATTTTTTGTTTTGTTTTTAAACTATGTATTTCTCAATGCAGTGCAATACCTAAAACCATCACCATTTTTACTTCCAACAGGAAAAGGACCTATATTGCAGTACCTAAATAAATAAAGGGTGTGTTTCAACCAAACATCCCAAAACCCAAATGTCTATTATTCAACTAACTTGTATAATCTGATCAAAAAGATGGCAGAAAAACTGCACCACTTTCCGATCAAGCAAATCAGCCAACAGAATATTAAGAAATTGCTGGTATTGGCTTCCTTACAAGATCAGCTTTCAATTATCATATCTAAAGCAGATGGCCCATGGCATAAAGCATGAACAAAGAATACAAGCAAGTCTGGCCAGGAAAATCCAGATTTCTACTATTCAGATACGTATCCAATGGCACAGCACAATTTAGCCTTGTGACAATCACACAACTAAACAAACCAATTAACAACAAAGATGTGAAAGTTGTACACATGAACGAATTAGCCAAAAAGAACCTTTTAAGGATGCAATTCGCATTACAAGAAAATCACAATGTTAAAGAAAAAAGGAGTAATAATAGAAATTACACCAAGTAACTTCATTGCGTCGAGCCATACTATGGAAATTCCTTCAAAAACTTGTGTTTGCAATTAAATTGTCAACTAGCAAGCAAACAAACATACACCACACCAAGGACAAAATTAACAGAGATTCATAGGCACAAAAGTGGAATCCAAGCAGATTATTTCACCTATCAAAATTGAACCCATATTCATAACTATGATAAACCCCTAACCTCTGATTATCCCTCTCGTTAATCTTCGACCAGCAGTCATCATTCACGACCGCTTACAACAGCAAAGATAGACCACAGCAGCCGCAACAACAGTAGCCCCAGCCGATGCTGCTGCCACGACCGGCACATTCAACCCTTTCCCTTCACAACCCACACTCTCATCAACCTCCCTGGCCTTTCCGTTAATACCCTCACCGGTCCTCTCCTCCATCTCCTCCTTCAATTCGAACATCTTCAACTCCAATCCCATTGCCTTCTCGTCGGATTCTCTTTTTGCTTCCTCACTTCTTTTCAGTTCACCCCTCGTTTTCGCCACCTCTGCTTCCAACTGTTCAACTTGCTTCTTGAACTCATCGATCTTTTCCCTCATTTCCTCTTCGATTCTAACCTTCTTGCTCCTCTCCTCCGATTCCCTCACTTCTAAAAGCCCTAAATTCCTCTCCAATTCCCTCTTTTTTTTCTCACTCTCAGCTTTCTCTTTCTTCAACTCATCAATTTCCTTGTCCAATCTCTCAATCACCAATCCTTTATCTTCCAATACTCTCTTTAACTCAAACACCTCTGTATTCGCCTCATCTACTTCACTCATCGAAGTTATCAGATCATGTTGAAGCCTCGAAACCTCGGTTTCAAGATCAATCGCTCTCGAGGTGATGGATTCTAGGGCCTTCTTATCCTCCTCCCACTGATCCATTTCTCCTCTCATTTCTTCTTCCTTGTTTAGTAGTTGATCAATTTCTAGCGTCAGTTTCTTGATCTTTTCCTTCACTTCTTTGTTCTCGTTGCTCAGTTCCAGCTTCTCGCTCTCAAGAGCTTCGATTTTGCTAGCCAGTTCCGTTACTTTGGCTTCATCAGCGTCGTAGAAGCTTTCCGCCATCTGATTCTCCATTTCGCCATTGATGATCGTCGAATCTGCCATCTTCTTGAAACTCAGTTTGGCTGCCAAGAAAATCAGAGAGATAAAAAGTTAAAGAGGAAGGGAGAGAGAAAAACCCTAGCGATTGGCCCCTTTTTTTTTATTATTATCAAAAAAGAGAAATCAAAGAGAACCTTCTTCATTTTCTTTTGCCCTTTTAGCAGTAATTTTCCAAGAAAATGTAAGGAACAGAAGATAAAAAGAAAGAGACAAAAGAAACTGCACCTTTGTTTTGCCGATTATTTGATTAGGGTTTTTTTTTCTTTCTTTCTTTTTTATTTTTCTTGTTGGTCGGATAATTTGTTCAGAAATCAGAAGGAATAAAAAGAATAATAAGAAAAAGAAGGGAGATTCGAGGAAGTCAAGAGAAATGGACGGTTAAGAATAAATGGCGGGAGGTGGCAGTGGAAACTGATGAGCAGTGGGGAGCACGTGCTTAAAAAGGTAAAGTGTGGGACCTCTTAATCACCACCTTTGATGGAAAGAGATTGATGGCCTTGATTTTCGTTTGCTAAAATTACAAATTTCACTTTTTGGATTCGCTGATGTGGGCTTGGTTGGGTCAACTCTGGTTTATAAGATGGGCCCATCTCTACTTGAACAGATGTCACAACCCATCCAAATAAGATGGGCCGAACTCTAACTCCCATTCATTACATTTGAAAGGAGCCCAATCCAATTTATGATTTGCCTACTCCCTGATAATTATTAGGAAACCACTTATTAAAATAAGGGCACTTTCCACTTAATTAGTTTCTGAAATGTTTCACTTACTAAATATACAAGTTGTTAGCTTTTTAATTGGTTTTTCAAATCCCAAAATTTTATTTACTTTATCACTAAACTTTTGTAAACAAACATTCTATTAATACATGGTACTAGTATTTTGTAAATTGAATACAAATTTATATTTGATTTACTCTCAAAGTACAGATTTTATAAACTATCCATGAATCAAATATTAGGATCGAGCTCAAACCTGAATTTTTTTTAGACGTCAATCAAACTTGAACCCACCTGATCTCTAAACACCTCTAATGCAAATTATATTTTGAAACGGACTTAAATAAAAAATAAATCTACAACTAGATCAGTAATTTAATTAGCCTTTTATGAGAAACTTATGTTTTCTGCAAGCAAGAGAAGATAGAGTTTGAGTGAGATAAATTTAAACTTTCGGGATCTGAAGTGCATTCAATTTCTGACTTGGAATTTGGAAAGAGGGGCAGATTTTAAAGGATTAAGGATGCGACCCTCCCATTGTATTATATGTGCGTATATATATATATATATATGCATGACTCAAAATATGACTATGTTAAAAAGGAGAGAAACACAAAACTTAATTTGGTATATGAAATTGAAAATAAAAAAAAATAAAGAAAGAAAGGGAGAGTCAGGAATTTCTGTATTCATTGGCACTGCTGGGTCCAAAAATGGCCAGCAATTACTCCGCCAAGATTAAAATGCTAAAAACCTCCAGCACCCTAATAAAGGCACCCCATGACAAGTGAACTTAAATGTTCCACGTTGGCATGTTGGCATGTACTGCCACAGGGCAAGGGCACACCATACCAATAGACGATGTACTAAAATTAATTCCGGCAAAGCTTTAACCAACCATTAACATTTCTCTGCTGCATTTACCATTCATTCTGATGTCTCTGCTGTTAGCACTAAACAACTTCTTCTTCCTATCCACTGAGCTATTAATTATAATAGTTTAACATAATGAAGCCAAATCAAAAATGAAAAAATAAATAAAAACTGAAAGAGGATGTGAATATGGGAATGTAGGATCTTGCTCTCTTTCACCATCTTAAATAAAATTAAAAACAAAAAGGCAAAAACAAAAAAGAAAAGAAAGAATAAACAAGATAAAGCCAAAAAAAAAAATACAATTGGTTTGTCACAGAACCAGAGAGATCAAAGTAAGTAGTCTGTCTATAATCAACCTCCGAGCTTTCTTTTCTGTTTCTCCAAGCCTTCGATAAAGCAGGAAAGAACTCTCATGGCTTTAATTTGACACTGCAAAGCTAATATATACCCAGCAGTCTCTTCAAACAGCTTGTCAACCCCTAAAGACTCACCTCCCGGAACAATCCTTTGCAATGCCACAATCTTTCTCTTCACTTCTGCCTTGTCGTCGTCGTCGTCGTCGTCGTCATCTTCTTCTTCTCCTCCTGCTCCTTGTTTTTCACTCAGGTGATCCTTCTTTTTAGCCTTCAAGTACTCTCTTCGTTTCCTTCTGGTGCCCCGGTTTCTTTGGAAACTAGCAGGTAAAGGTTCATGCAATGCATTTCCTATCAAAGGACTTTGGTGGGTCTTTGTTTCTTTGCTTTGAAATGTAGGTATATTTGTCTGGTTCAAGGCATTCTCCATTGACAGAGGAGAAGAGGGCGGGGGCAGAGCCTAGGGAAGGAGAAAAAGGAGGGCTCAGTAGGGGAGGGAAGGGGGGAGAGCGAGTTTTGAGTGCATGAGAGGGGAGTTAAATTATTGTAAAAGCTCTGGAGATGTCAATGCCAACGAAGCAAGGCCCACCCAGTTTTGGGTTCCCAAGCCTTGGTTTTGGGTTGGCGCTGGGCCGTGATGTTTACGCACCAAACAAAAGAGCGTGAGAGGGGCTGTCTGGTAGTGCTTGCATGTGCCATGGTAAAGGCGCTAGCGCAGGCAAAATGTACAACCGAGCACATGCAGCGGTGGAAAGCTGTCTGGATGCAAGTTGATGGAAATCCCCAAACGCAGTTGGACGTGAGTGGTGATCAAACGGATTTTCTGGGATCACCTGCGGATAGGTCCAGCGAGAATAGGGAAAAGAAAGGAAAAACGAGGGACCCCACAAATGCAAAAACAAAGTGGAAGAGAGAGAGAGAGAGTGAAAGCACATGTGATCACATGATTTTCTTGAACCAAACACCGCCCATGTGCCTCCCCATCTCTCTCTCTCTCTCTCCTATGATCTATACCACTACCATTGGCATGAATGCCACGTGGCACTTTCTTAATGGGACCCACCTAGAGCCCCGCAAACCCCATTCTCCCCCTCCCCTTCCTTTTTTTTTTTTTCCTTATTTATTTATATATAATGTTTTTAATGATGCGCCTTTAAAAGCTTTGGTAAAACTCCTTAACAATTACAATTTGAGCATTCCCCTTAAAAATTTTTACTTTTAAATTTTATATAATCGGTGAGATGAGATTTATAAATTGAGAACAAATTTTAAAAAAATTATAATACGTACAAAAATGTACAATGCCTTCAGAGCATTTATTAAGATGGATTTATTATAATACTTTTGTATTAAATCTAGTAAACAATTAACAGGATAATTAAGAATGAATCAAATAAAGATATTGTTTTATATAATGGGATTTTGTTAATGAATATTCTGAGGGCAACTTTTGGGCTATCAACTTGTGAGATTAAATAATATATTAATTTAGCAACTAATATATTTCCTCAAGAAAAGGCTTGAAGAAAAATGGTAGCAAAAACCTGGAAAATGTTATAGGGAAAGGAGTGGTGGGTGATGTTTCCAAGAAGGAAACCAGTGGGAAGTTGGGGGCATTGGGATTGTGAGAGAGAGATTTGTTGTGTTGGGCATATGGGGCTCCATGTGATCAGAATCACCTAATCACACACTGTTCACTTGTTGCTTTTACACACTACACATTCTTATTATTTTATTGTTTTTAATACTTTGCATCAAATCCCATATCTTCTATCATCTTAGTTTTGCAGGCCTTTGCCAATCTTTCTTTCTTTCTTTTCTTTTTTTTTTTTTTT